AATTTTTAGACACTCAAATCTATCCTATTTTGGGGCGTAAACATAATGGAGCTTTCATTCCCATTGACACCTTCAAAACCCACTAACTATTTCAAAAGTGGGTAGGGGAATGTATTCCCTACTAAATTACCCAAAAAAACAAAATTGTTGAATAAAGATCATCTAATCTTTAAACATTCAGATCTAAGTATTTAGAAACTTAAAATCTAAATGTTATCAAGATTTTTTACCTAAGGGAGTCAATGTACAGTATACTCCCGCATGAGAATGCTAGACAAACAAATGCCAAGTAGTAGCACATGAGTACCATATTCGAACATCACTAGCCGCCGATCCAATAATGCACTACACACGCGAGAACACAAAAACACGAAAAAAAGTAAATTGGAAAATGTATTTAAGGAGATTAAATTATCTTACAAAATCAACAAACGGCTAAAAAGATCTCATCTAGCACTGTAGGGGTTATTGAGTTCGTTTTAAAAAAGGTACCTCTTTAAAAAAAAATTGTTATAAAGTTACAAAATTATGTATTCAGTATTCGGAACTTTGAAAAGTTAGGGACATTTTGTTAATTTGGACCACATAAGCAGCTCAAGCCAAAATGTGAAAGTTCCCATAGGAAAAAATATATGCTAAAATAACAAAAATACCCAAAGTCTGTATTGCTAACCGTAAACAACCAAATATTTTGGTCATGGCAAGTTTGAGCTCTAAAACCTGAACAACTAGGGGTATTTTTGTAATTCGACTCGAGTTACTTAAGCGGGCCAAATGATCAAAATGCTATTAGTTGATTAAGATTTCAAATCTTGAATAAAGGTAACTTGGAAATTGTTGAAGAGTTAACTTTATGAAATGAAACTTAAAAAATAATTTATGCATTAAAATGAGATCTTTTGAGTCTTATGATTTTGTATGATAGTTTTTGCCCTTTAATGATATTTTGCCGAAGTAATTAAAGAGTATTTATAAAAGAAAAGGTTAATAAAATCTATTTTGTCTATGAAAATATCTGAACTATGTGAAGTGTGAACCATGAACACAGTAGCAACTCAGTTCTAATTAGACAACAAAACCCTGTCACTTTAGGCAACCTAGGATTTGGGGACAAATATGAAAAGATTAATTTCCAAACTGAAAGTGTGAACATGGACTTGAGGTTGCATAGCCACTAACTATTGCTCCGGATCGGATAGTTAACCTTGGCTGGCCTGGTTTAAAGCAAAAATATGTTTGATTGAAATTGGCCAAAACTAATATTTGACTAGTTTTGACTGGTTGGATCTGTAAAATAAGTTCTGATAACTTGTTTTTATAACACATTTTAAATCTTTAAATTATTTTTTTATATTTTAATTTTCTAGAAAATCCAGTCTAAATAGATTGACTGACAATCATGTTTGCATTGACTGGACCAAACACTTAACCAGGTCACTTGCCAGTCTAATTCTGGTAATACTATGCATGAGTTTCATGGTAACTATCTAGTTGAATAAAAATCGAACCTCTGGTTCATTTCATTGACGTAGCACTATTTTAAATTCTGCCTTTGATGCTTAAAGAATGAAGGATTTTTGTCATTTCATTCCGCCAAACCCTGCTAAGCCATGAATTTGGGAAGGTTTAATGGCCGTTGAGTTAAAATAATCAACGAAGATTAGAGCATCATCTCTTCTTCCAAAGCAGCTTAGATTAGATAGCAGACAAAAGGGATAAGTTACTAAACGAAAAGAAAATGATAGATTAAACTTTAAAATCCTTTGTTTTTTTATTGAAAAGTGGCTTACTAAGAAAGAGATAAAAACCATATTAAACAAAAAAATTAACCAGGTCCAATTCAACACTAATCCTGGTCTAGTCTGGTCCACACTTAAATAAGACTCTACGCGGTCGAATCGTACTGAGAAAGAGGTAAAACAAATGAAACCAATTATTCGAATCCAAGTCCAATTCAATGCAAATCAAGTCCAATCCAGCCATATGAGACCCTAGTTTGGAGTCCACCATAGAACTACACACTGTTCCGGCCTCTGAAACCAGCCAATGGCTGTTTCTGAGTAACCGATTAGCCGGCCTGTTCAACCGGCCTAATCGGGCATGTCCTAACTGATCCAAAATGTATTAAAAATAAATAAAACTATAAAAAAGGTTTTTAAAATATAAAAAGTATATTTTAAATAAAGCACATCCAAATGAAGTTGAAAATTAGTGAAACATGGATTTTAAAAAATCGATTTGTGCTTAGGTGTATTTTTGAAATTTTTTTAAAAAAATAGAAATGGGTAAAAATAAGTATTCATCGCTAAAACACTTTCCAATCTTTGCCAAAATGATAAAAAAACATTAAAAAGCACAATACAAACAAATCCATTATTTTTTAAGATTTAATATTGCTTTTTTTTTTTTTTTTTTTTAAATACCCGGCCAGACCACCAAAATCGGATCGTCTAGTGTCCAGTTCCAATTTGACCGACCGGTTCTAAGTTGGACAGACCGAGTTTTGAGAACATTGGACTTCACAAGTCGAGCATATTTTATTTATCAAATATAACTGAATTAAAGATGTCTGACATTGGGAAATTGTGTTAAAAAATCTCAGATCTGGATTTGGATCATAAGATTGCGATCACGATCACATTTGGAAGATTGCCAAGTTGATTCGTTCCCGAATTTTGAATCAGTTTTACTTCTCGTAGCTACTAAACTCCCCATATTTCTAATGTTTTTGTGATAGGCTTCTATTATCACCTAACGAATTCAAAACCCTAACGATTTCAAGAAATGGGTAGGGGCTCATTATTGCCACTGAATTACCCAAAAAAAAGAAGAAAAAAAGATACATATTATCAAACAAACGTAAAAAAAATGGTTCTTTCTTCTTTTTCTTTTCTTTTTTTCCTTTTTTTTTTTTAACTAATATTTTGGAAACCACCTCGGCCGAGGTACTTGGCCTTTGGCTAAGGTGAGTAACCCGGCAGAGTACAAGTGGACTCGCACTAATTACTACCACCAATAAAATGAAAAAAAAAAAAGTGAAATATCTTTGAAAAAGTTTAAAAACAAGAGAAAGCTAAAGAGGTAATGGAAAGCATTAGAAAACGGCAATGATAAAATAAATAAATAAAATTATATAGAAGATGGATTATTGAAGATTTCAGAAGAATTTAAGAAAAGAGAAAAATATGAAAGTTTGCGAAGCATTTTAAAAACTATCAAAATTATCTAAAAACTTAATTCTAAACTAATCTAGTGATGTTTCCCCTTTTTTTTATTTTAAAATATTTCTTACCTCCTTTATAAGGGTGGGGTGAGTTGTCATGGCCGTGTCTAAGTGGATTCAGTTGTGTCGGATAACATTGCATTTAACTATTTGCTTGATGCCAATTTATCTGATCCAAACCACCCGATTCAGCTAATCCGGATCAGTCAAGTGGAAAGTTGATCTACCCAGATGATGCGGTTTTGAAACCCTCTTGTAAAAAATTACGAGAATGGTCGGAATTTTCGTAAGATAGAATCAATGTTGTTAGATTCGTTTTGGAGTCTTATTTGGTTTGGTGAGAAAAATGATGCAATTCGGTGCTTCGGCCAACACTTTAGACTTTTTAAAAAAATTAATATAAATAAATTAGATATTTATATATAAAACATATAAAAACAAAACTTTTATATAGATCTTTCTTTGCTTAGCACGAATAAGTTTTGGCTCAATCGACCCGAATCTGTCCGAAGCGGTCCAAATCTGACCGAAATGATAGCACCAAGCTTCACTTCGTTTCGATCTAAGCCTAAATTCCGAAAACTTTGGCCTCTTCGGCCAGAGCAAAGCAAATTTGATAACACGGGATACAAGAGTAGCTAAAAGTCTTGCACCAGGGTTTGAGATAATATTTTTACTCATAAACCAGGGAATGTCTATACAACACCACTTTAATTGAAAAATGGGTATTTCGCCATCGCCCACAATAGATGGGTACGCTTAGGTCCATGTAAATAATTAAGGATTGGTAATAAACAAAATGAGGTTTTAGCCACGTTTTTCGATTGGTCGAGACCTGATGAACTTATCCTTGTGTTGGCCTTTCAAGGGGGGGATGATTTTGCCTGTGCTTATCAGTCATTAAACATGTCATCAACACCCAATTAGAATATTGATAATATCCTAATGAACATTGATAATTGGCACTACTAATTTTAACTTAAAGTCCTATTGCAAATGATCTCATCACTCTTCATGATCAGGCCCCAAAAAATTTCAATTAGGCCCCTAATTTTTATCAAGGCCCAATGACCTAAGCTTATCCTCTTAGGAGATGGTTATCCAAATAGGTAAGGGAGAAGTAACCATGCCAAAAACAAAGGGGTGTAGTTTCTATAAGGCTGAGGCTCTAAACAATCAAAATAGGGCACACCTTAAATTGTGCTAAAATATGTTGTTTTAATATTATAAATCTTTACGATGGCCTGAAAAATTTATGTCTAACAATAAAATTTAAAGTTAAAAAATAGTGCAGATCGATGAGATCTATGAACACTTGAAAATATTGAAAATTGACACTCTAGATAATGCATTATAAACTGCACTATTTTTAATAGTTGAAAACTTTTTTTTTTTTTCTCATGTCCATACATCTTGAGGTTGAGATGATCGAATTTGAGAGTTTTTCAACAACAAAACATCCTTTTTAATGAATTTTGGAGGTACGCCTTAATTTGATTGTTGTGGAGCCTCACACTTATACAATGTTTTTCTAAAACAAATAAATCAGTAGTCGGTAGTATATTAAGCTTCATGTGACCCTCGCATGAAGCTCAAACGAGGGCGGGCGGTTCAACTGGTTTTAAACGTGCTTTGTGACATCAAGCCCACGTAAACAAACAAAAAAGCCCAACCACTTCTGCATTTCAATATTAGGTCGACGGAATCCAAGGCAAAGAAACATATAAAAGCTCAACGGAGCCCTTTTCAAAGCTCAAACTTTCTGGTTTTGGGCATCAAATAATGGCCAAGATCCACCCTCAAGCTTCCATCTCTCCTCTCCCTTCATCCTCTCCTTCTCCATATACAACTTCTGGGCAAGAAGCATTCACTATATGGATGAAATCTCTTGTGTTCAACAGCAATGGCTGCACTGTGTTTGATTCCAAGGGTCGGATTGTTTATCGGGTTGATAATTACGATTGCAAATGCAACGATGAAGTTTACCTCATGGATCTCTCGGGGAAATTAGTGTTCGCAATCTTAAGAAAGGTAAGCCATTGAAACTCTTGAACTGATCCAGGATTAGGAATTCTCTCTCTTGTTATCTCCAAATGGAGGAAATTACAGAGTGATGACATTGCACTCTATTACATCAGGCATGACTAATTCTGGGCAACTTAATCAATGAAAATGGCAGATAAACTTTCATAAATAAAAAAGGTGTTTTCTGTAATAATATTTGATAATTCAATCTCAAATAGTTATGTTCAAAAGGATCAATACTAAACTGGGTTTTTCCTTTTTGTAGAAACTTCGAGTTTTCGGGCGTTGGGAGGGTTTCAAGTGCAAGGGATCGATGGTTGAGCACGGCAAACCATGGTTTCAAGTTCGGAAGCCTTATAGAATTTTGAAAAGAGACTTGAATTGCGAAGTTACGGTGGGATGCAGTGAAATTCAGCCCATCCATTATAGATTGGAAGGGTCACCAGGCAAAGCTTCCTGCAAGATTGTCGATCGATCAGGAGCCGTTGTTGCAGAGGCGAGTTAGTTGTTAAGTACAGTTCTGGCTTAGAATCACATAACCCCTCTCTCTCTCTCTCTCTCTCTCTCTCTCTCTCTCTCTCTCTTCTCTACTACTATTACTACTTAGTCGTGTACGTACGTACGTACGTACGTACGTACGTACGTACGTACGTAGTACGTACGTAGTAGTAGTGTAGTGT